TCCTCTTCCATCTACTCCACCAGCTGCATCCTCTTCCCACACCACTACTGAAGGATTAGTGCTGTACCTATCTCGTTAAGCAAGCTTCTCATACTTGATGGTATACTGGAATCACCTGGGAAATTTTAAAGCATTCTGATGCAGGGGTGCCACCCCTATGGACTTTGGTTTAATTGGTCCTGGGCATTGGTACTTGTAAAAAACTGCCCAAGTGATTCTACAGTGCAGTCAAAGTTGCAAATCACTGTCTTATAGGCTCTTAAATTCATGACCCTGCTGGACCCCTGTATCCTTGGACTCTATTGATCATTGGTCTCACTTCCTCTGCCTTCATATACACAAGCTGAAAAAATAAGCCTGAGAAGAGTAGCTGAATTCATGCCTTGATCAACTTCCAGAAGAAAATGGAAGAAGTCCAGTAAATTCAAGTATTGGCAAAATATATTAAGCTTCTGGAACATGCCACCTCCCTGTGCCAAGGAAATTCAGAAAGCTTGGGAGACTCCTGGGGCTCAGGGGAGTCCTGCCTCCTCCTTGCTTTCTATTAACTTGAGAAAGTTGTTTACTCTTTCTGAGTCTCAGTTTCTTTATCTATAAACAGTGGAATACCTGCCTCCTTAAGCTTTGTTAGGTGACTATTCAAAGAGTTCAAAATAGTGTCCAGTATATTCAATACTGGAACTTCTTAAATGGAAAGAATTGATAAAACAGTTAAAGCCTGTTCTCTGATTATGCTCCAAATTAATAATAATTACTATATATTGAGCAAATTTATCCAATTCTTCATTCTTTATCTACTGCAGAAGTATTTATTACTTATTGACCTTAGGCCAAACATACGGCTAGATAATTGGATGTAGTAATGAATAAAAAGACATGATTCCTATCTTGGTCCACTGTACAGCTTGGTTAAATGCTTTATCTATCGCTATCATTGATTGCAAATAATCCCAAAACTGAGCTTGCTAGAGGTAGGGCACAACTAACAAAATGATCTTCAATTCACCCTTGCAGTAAATAATTTGAGATAGGCTAGGCTGTTCAGAAAAAAAAAATTGTACATAGCAGACAGACACTTATCAGAGTTCCATAACAGTCATGAAGGGCCAGGAGGCTATTCAATAAACAAACAAACAAACAAACAAACAAACAAACAAACAAACAAACTTCTGAGAATACCAAAGGGGGCAGCTTAAAAAACCTGATGGGTTTTCCCACTCAGTTCAGGCAGTTTTATCACTGGTGGTTTACTGTTCTAGGTTCTTGAAGGCCAGAGAGGCTGTGTTCCCCTCACCCTCAATTCCCCTGAGAGTGTTGCTATGCCTCCCATGCAGCTCTCTATGTACTGCAAATTCTGAGACTTACCCACATTACCAGAACTGTGTTCTTTGCTTAGGTCTGCTGGCATCTTTCAGCCACTCTCTGTTACTACTATGGAAATAGCACCTCTCCTTATAACACTCCTAAGAGCTGGTAGTATTATCCGTAGTTTACATATGAGACTTAAATAACTTGACCAAAGTCATTGATCTGGTAAATGGCTAGCCAAGATCGAACCTCAGATCTTTCTGATTCCACAGCTCATCCTCTTCTGTCTTAAGTGGACAAACCTCAGATGACTGTGCTTTAGAAATATCAAAATCTGACTCTTCAGAGAATTAATTTTAAAAACCACAAGTAGAGAACAGAAGAGCAGATGGAAGTAGAAGAGGATGATGGGACCAAACCTAATCTAATCTTGGCCTATGGGCCCCTTATGAAATTATGTTGGAGACTAAAATCCAATAAAAAAATTGTGTCCAGTTTGCCTGGTTATCAATCAAACCTTCTGGTACTTAATTTCATGTCATTCCATAGATTAAAGTCTTCAAGATTCAGATTCCCATCTCCTCTGAGCTGCAGCTACAACTCTTTTGTAAAACTGGGAACATAATAACTACAGCTGAAAAGCAACAGCAGCAATTTGTAGAATGTATAAGACCCTTGCCAACTCCAGATAATCCTTTTC